AGCGGCCATACGGGCCCACCATCAACTACTTGAGAACAGTGATATTTCCAACAATTTTTTCTTCAACCTCGAACGTATAAGAGCAAAATCAAAACCTATCATTCACCTAAAAAAATCCGACGGCACTCTAACAGAAGACCCACATGAAATACGCAATATAATATACAACTTTTATCAATCCTTGTACACCCCAGATATCGTTGACGACACATGCCAGAGACAACTCTTGAACCAATTACCACAACTCGATCAAACCGACTGCGAAAATCTCGAAAGCGAAATTACGTATGACGAACTTACCAAAGCCCTTAGCCAACTCTCAACAGACCGCACCCCCGGCATCAACGGCTTACCGTGTGAATTTTACCGAACCTTCTGGCCTATCATAGGCATGGACTTACATAAAGTTCTCATCCAGTCAATTAAAAACGGAAAACTCCCACTGTCTAGCAGACGAGCAGTCATTTGCTTACACCCAAAGATAGGAGACAACACTTTAGTCAAAAACTGGCGACCAATTAGTCTATTATGCAGCGACTACAAGTTACTTGCAAAAGCCCTTTCACTACGCCTCCGTTCAGTATTGGCAACAATCATTCATGAAAGTCAAACATGCAGCATACCAGGACGACAGATCACCGACAATATTCATTACATACGGGACAACATATACTTCGCCAATACCAACAATACACCCCTCGCAATTCTAGCTTTGGATCAGAGAAAGGCTTTCGATCGCGTGTGCCACCATTACCTGTTCAATACCCTCGCAGCTTTTGGCTTCAGACATAATTTTATTAATTTCATCAAGATACTATATACAGATATAGAATCGCTCATCCCATTAATTGCTCACTTACATCGCCGCTTACATTCATCGAGGAATACGCCAGGGATGCTCTCTCTCGGGCCAACTATACGTCATCGCATTGGAACCACTTCTAAACAATATAAGAAAACAAATCTCCGCACCAACAATACCCTCTTCGCCTAAAGCCAACTCAAGTTTAGCCGCGTACGCAGACGACGTTGAAGTTCTACTGACAAAAATGACCACTTTGACAAGTTAAAAGACTGCCTCAAAGTATACGAAAAAGCATCAAACGCGAAAGTCAATCTCGAAAAATCAGAAGGTTTGTGGTCTGGTAGCTGGCGCAGACGCACAGACAACCCACTGGGAATATCTTGGAGTACAGAAGGACTCAAAGTTCCAGGGGTTTTCCTAGGTAACAACGACACCTTTGCTCAACAAAACTGGTCACAACTATCACAAAACATTGAGGAAAAAGTAAAAAGTTGGTTCGTGTTTGCTCCATCCATATCCTATAGAGGGCGTGTTCTTGTGATAAATCAACTGATTGCCCCGAAACTCCATCACCGTCTTGCATGTTTCTCCCCACCCAAGCCAATCATCCTGCACCTACAGTCACTGTTTAACAATTTTGTCTGGCATGGCCGACACTGGACGCCTGCAGAAACACTCTACCTACCGCTAGACAAATGGGGCCAAGGACTAGTTCACCTGCAATCACGCATTACGTCACTCCGTTTAGGCTTTATTCAACGATACCTGTACCTGGACTCTGATCATCCCATTTTTCACTTCACGGACTACTACTTCAGCCTGGTCCGAGACTTACACTACAAGAAAGAACTCTTGCTTACAACAGGAATAGACTACTGCAAAAATAAAATACCTGACTATTATTTTGAATTACTACAATGCTGGAACGCGTTAGAAAAAATACGTAAAGACAAACCCACTAACCTCGTAGCTGCCCTTAATGAACCGCTCTTCCAAAACCCAATACGTGGCTGCCCTTTTACTCTAACACATCTAGCCGACGCCGGTATTACCAAAATCGGAGACCTGGAGGAAAAAAGATGGCTAGGCACTGCGGACTTCGTAGAAAAAATAAGAATTAAATCCCTACGTATTCTCGACCTTACGCTCAAAACCACCCACAATGCAATACCCATGGGCTTAAAAGCAATTATTAATAACCACTTTAGACGCGAACAACCAATCGATACACCAAGTGCACGGTATACATTCGAACTACACCATTCAACGGACTTGAACCTCCCCTTATACAAACTGGAAAA